TAAATATAACATGAATCTAAATTTGTAAATATAATATAATATAAATGACCAAGCCATAATGCTGTAATTATTTCAATAAAGACCTGCTCATTGTGTCCTTATGTATGTATCAATAAAATTTGAATTTATTTATAACAACCAATTAATATAATAATAATTACTCAATGAAATGAATGCTCAGTTGTTTGCATTTTATTGATTAGTTTTCAGTAATTTATAGTTTGTTGTACCGGAAAACGAATACAATATTTATGATGTTATTATCCGTATTTGTAAAATTAATGTTACATTTTATATTTAAAAATATATCAACAAATTAAATATTGATACATAATTGTTTGTGTTGTAAGTATTATCGCACATAATACCAATTAAAGATGTGTTCTTTGTTTAGTAAAAGTCTTAATTAGTAATAATAACTATATTTATTAGTAACTCTTATTATCCACTTGATATCATTTACTTGTGAATATTTTCCTTATCATCATTACTACTATAAAAATTAATTTAATGACTTTATAGATTCTATATAATATAGAACCTTAATAACATACAAACAGATATATTGTTGAATATTATTGTAGATTTATATTATTATTGTTTAAAAACAATTTGTTTTGTAATTATCTGAAATAAGACCCCAAATAATAATTGATTCCATAATTAGTACCGTAATAAGAAATAGTGTGTTATTAATCTCTTACATTTTAATTTACATGTATTATGTATTATGAATTTGTGCTTTTATTAATATTATACAGTATAATTTATACTGAATAACTAATATAAGTATTGAATTACTTATATAATTTATTAATTGTCATTATTTATATAATTACATGCTAAAAACAAATGTTTAATCATGTTTTTAGTAAATTTACTAATTTTTCTTATATGCAATCGAGATATTTATTTTTTATGCGATTCACGCCATATTCAGTGTCATTCAAATTCATATAACTCGTGCATTTACCGCACATTCATGTACTTTTTTATTTAAATCATACGATCAAAATGAATTAGCAGCTTGTACATTTTTATAACTCAATACTATGAACTTTTTATTACTTTAAAACCACTGATTGAACGGTAAGACCTGTGATGTGTTGTATGTATTTGTATACAAAACACTATCAATGCATAGAAAAAGCGGTCAATTCTATGGGAACATGTGTTCTCATAATCAGTAAGTCGTTGAGAGTTCCCAACAATTAAAACAGCTCTAAATGTACTGAAAAATTGTTATTTTTATGGTTTGTATAAATGTAATAAAAATGGAATTCTTGCAAAAGTGTAGACAAATATGTAAAATCATTTAATGATTACATTTACTTTCTGTTTTTGGATTTGACTATCAAAACTTTCATAACAACTTACTGTCTGAAAAACATTACTTCAACTTTTTAATTGTGTTCATTATATAGCAGTGTTAGCGTATGGTTGGGAACATAAGTGTCTTTACATGTTATATGTTATAATCATATGACTAACAATTGTTATGAAAGTTAGCATGGTCATCTCTTTGTCTCATAAATAATAATATTTAGATAGTGTTATTAACAAATATTACATGACATTAAAAAGTTATTAAAACCTTTACATATTTTTTAGCGTACTTTTGTCTTTTTGGTATAAATAAGTAACTCTTTGTTGAAATACTCGACAGTAAATGAAATTTCTTCCACAAACGTAAGTGATTTCGCATTTGTTTTATAGTTATGAAAGTTAAATATAACTTTAATTATTGTGTATATTTTGCGCAAACTTACACATTAGGAATCTTCCGCCTGATCTCAATTACCTAGGTTTTATTATTTAAATTATTATTTAATATATGCGATAATTGAGCTAATATTTATAAATTTAAAATATTATAATTAAAATTAAAAATCTATTATTTATTTATATAACAAATACTGGATATATTTTTTTCAGTACAGGAAAGTGGGATTATTTTTTTTTTATAAAAACAGTTATTATTAATTTAAATTGGAAAAATAGTTTTAAAAAATAGTCATGTATTATATATAGTAATACTGTATTATAATTATGTGATATTAAGTAATAGTTTAAATACACGATAAAATTCTAACAAGTAAGTACTTCCTTAAAACAACATTAAATGTTTGTTAAATATTAAAACTATATTATACAAAATTATTCAATAGAATAAAATGCATAGATTATTTTAAGTAAATTTATTTTTACATTCATTGATAATTAAAAATAAACATTTATTTGAAAAAAGTAATTTTTGCTAATTATATGCCAATTAAACGAGTTTTAAATAATTTTATTTCAATTTTTAAAATAAATGAAAATCTGGAAAATACAAAGTATTTGACGTACGGCTGACATCACACACACACTTGTGATGTCATGTATTGGTGGCGATAATACGGTTCCTCTAATCGTGTTATGAGTTAACAACACATAAAATCATATCATTATATGATTATAAAACATCAGTTCATTGCAATCGATAGTCATATACTGAACAGTATAGTAATTAAACAGTTAGACCAAAGTTTATAGTGTACTCACTCGGCAGACAGTGTACTATCACTTTGTCAAAGCCGTTAGTTTTAGAGTCTAGGTTAGCTAAATCTAGATAGATCTAGCTAAATAGATGAGACACTTTTAATATATATTTATTAAAACATGTCATCCCATTCACGCCACTCCGCCTGTCATACATATAAATCATGCATTAATAATGATAATCATCACGCATTGAGTGATAATTTGTATACAAAAATTTGTTGAACTCGGTATCTATTATCTAAAATTGTTGATTTAGTTAATGTTAATTAATAACAATTTTTAGGCAATTTTTTCTCGTTTAGTGTTTTTACGTTTTATTACGAAATTAATGTAATTGTAGTGAAATTATTAACGATTTAACCACTGATCCCAACAACTTCTCAGGAATTGCTTTTTGCTGTTGAATACAGTATAAAAAGTAGAAGTTTTCTCTATATTTAGAAATAAAGCATTTATACTGTGAATGTATTCCTGAAGAAAGTTTGGCAATATTTTTAAATTTTACAATAAAGTAAGCGATAAAATAGTTATTTTTACTAAAATTATATGTGGTTTTGAATATGTATTTGTATTAATTTACATAATTTAGTCGTAATATAACATTTGACAGACATGTGATTTATATTTTTCCAATTTTTATAAAATAAGTTTTTTTTTATAAAACAAAACTTTTCCTTTTCTGATAATTCAATCGATGTCTCAAAGAATAATAACTTTCAATTTATATAGATTGTTTATTTTGTATTTTTTCATATAAATTAGATTTAAAAGTGAACTGAAAAAACCACAAGTATTTTAAATGGATTTCGTGGCCAATACTGACGAGCGTTTTGATGTGTGCGAGAAGTTTAAGAAATGGTCGCATATATCGGATATTAGCGATTATGAGCGCATTTACAACCTCTCAATCCAAGTGCCGAACGCCTTCTGGTTAAACATTGCGAACCAATTCTATTGGCAAAATGACATCCAAAAGGACTCAATCTTTTCCTATAATTTCGATGTACATAAGGGTCCGATTGATGTCCAGTTCATGAAGGGTTGCAAAACCAATGCCTGCTATAACTTAATCGACAGAATCATTAAATCAGGTTTGGGTGAAAGGACTGCATATATTTGGTAAGTGAATGATTTCAAAAAAGCTGTTAAATAGTGGTTTAGAATTGGTTTTATTCTTAAAGGATTGGAAATGATTTAAATCAGAAGAAGAGTATAACATATAATGAACTGAAGCGAGAAATATGCAAATTCGCAAATGTGCTCAAGAGTCAGGGCATTAAAACCGGTGATAGAGTTGCCATATATTTGCCGGTCTCGATAGAGCTGGTGGTGGCAATGCTCGCCTGCGCCCGTATCGGTGCCGTCCATACGGTTGTGGTATGAATACAATCAATATGTTGTAAATGTTGTCAATATCTATATTTTTGACATATATTTTATATGTAAAAAGTTTGCAGGATTTTCCGCACAAGCGTTGGCCGACAGAATAATTGACGCAAAATGTCGTCTATTAGTGACAGCCGACGGATCTGTTAGAGGAAACAAATTAATTAAACTTAAAGATATTTCTGATGAATCGGTGGTAATTTGTAAACAGAGGTAACATTTGTGAAACAGTTGTGAAAATCCTGATAAACAAATAATTTTTATATTAAATCTGTTGTTATCTGATTTGGTTAGGATTTTCTATAATTTTTTCTGTATAATTTTCTATTTTTAAAAAACCCTTTTTCTATTTAACATATTTTATAACAATAATAATTTATAGACAAAACATTACTTTATTTTTAAATTAATTTACATTGAAGTTTATTTTTAAATGTGTTATCATTTTAACAAATATTTTGGTTTTTATAATTTGTTATTTAATATTAACTTTTTAAATCAATACGTTAAGAATGTTGGTAATAGAAACGTGACGTGTGTCTTTGGTGTTAGATAACAGAACATAACAACAGTTTGTAAGTAGGTTACTAGAGTTACTGGTGTTGTTATTGGCTTTTGTATTTATCATTCCCAAATTTGATGAAACCTTTGACCTTTGGTGGGATCAGCTTATGTCCGATGCGAGCGATGAGTGCGAACCCGTATGGCTGGACGGAGAGGACCCGCTCTTCATTCTGTATACGAGGTTTGGCACAAATATAGACAAAATGTCTTTTGTTTTAATAGGTTTTTTGCAATTAAAAATGTTTTAGCGGAAGCACTGGTAAACCCAAAGGTGTCGTTCACACAATCGCTGGATATATGCTAACAACTGCTCTGGTCTTCAAATACGCTTTCAATTACAAAGACGGCGACATCTTTTTCTGCACCGCAGACTTGGGTTGGATTACTGGCCACACGGCCAACGTTTACGGCCCGCTGGCCAATGGGGCCACAGCTGTGCTCTTCGACGGTATACCCACTCATCCAAGTGCGGACAGATTTTGGCGTATAATCGATGAGAACAAAGTGAATGCCTTCTATACGGCGCCGACAGCTATCAGGACTTTAATGAAATTTGGTGACGATTTAGTGACAAAGTATGAAATGTCTGAATTG